CAGATGCCAACCCAGATTACTATACCCAGCCAAAATGTCTATTATAGTTGAAGGGGAAAGAAAAATCTTCCATTATATAAATAGGCTGAAAGAATTCATGTCCACAAAACCAGCCCTTCAGAGAGTTCTGGAAGCAACACAAAGAGCTGAAGAAAGGAATGACTATACCCGAGGGACTGTGGGAAGAAATCCAACAAAGGTATAACTGTGGAAAAATACAGCTATATGAAGAATGTAAACACAAATAAAAATGACAGGATTCAATACCCATCTTTCATTAATAACTTTAAATATTAACGCACTGAACTCCCCAGTCAAAAGACACAGACTTTGTGAATGGATTAAGAAACAAAACCCATCTTTTTGTTGTCTGCAAAAAACTCATCTCACTTTCAAAGACAGACACTATCTCAAAGTGAAAGGATGGAAAAAAATATACCAAGCAAATGGCACTAAGAAAAAATCAGGTGTAGCAATTCTAATATCTGACAAAATAGACTTTAAACTAAAACTAATCAGAAAAGACAAAGAAGGACACTTCATTTTGATAAAAAAGAACAATGAATCAAGAAGATATTACAGTCATGAACATATATTCACCAAACTCTGGTGCACCCAGTGTACTAGTCAGGGTTCTCTAAAGAAACAGAACCGGTAGAATGAATATGTATGTATAGAGATTTATCAGTTTAGCTAGGATAGAGTCCGAGTAGTCCAACAATGGCTGCACCACACTGGAGAGGCTGAGAATCCATAGTCGCTCAGTCCACAAGGCTGGATGGATGTCTCTGTAGTCCCGATCTGGCTCTGAAGGTCTGACAAATTCTAAAAGATCAGCTAGTCTTCAGTCTACAGCAGCAAGATGAACTCACCAGCAAGAGAGAAAGCAAGCAGCAAGAAGCCTGGCGTTCTCTTCTGCCTTGGCCTTTTATACCGGCTGCCATCAGAAGGTAACACCCACATTTAGGGTGTGTCTTCCAGCTTTAGATGATCCAATTAAGAAGATCTCTTTCATTTCAGTTAATCCCAGAACCAATCGACTTGACACCCAGGATTAGCCATCACACCAAACTTCATAAAAAAATACTACAGGACT